GATACATATTAAAAGAAAATGTTTTCTTGTAATATGTGTATTTTGTTCTTTGTTCTTTTCTTTGTATAATTTTCTATATATTCTTTCTTATCCTGTTCTTTTATTTCATTTCTTGACTGATGATGTTATGAGTTCATAACGAAATGTCTCTTATTATATTAAATAATAAAATGATAAAAACAATGTCTATTATTCTCTTATTTATATTAAAATGTCTTCACCATATAAACAAACGTAAATCTATTATTGTCACCGTACACGAGAAGTATGGTAGAAATGCAATGAAATGTTTAAGATAATTTGAAAGAATTAAACTTAAACAATGCAGATTGGAACAAAATGCTGAGTTTCTTAGAATATGTCTTATTTATAATGTATTACCTAAGTTCATTAGATTCAAACCTTATGATACACGATTCAAACGTACACATAAATATCATGAGTTAGGTAGATCTACGTTATATAATCGTTTTAAAGAACAACAAAAGCGATTAAAGGAATAAAATTCTGAAGTTATAGACTGTCGATCAGGCATAAAAAATGTTGTTAGTTATTCTACCTGAATTGAAATTGAATCACATATAGATAAATTAATTCTTAAAGAAAAAAAGATTATAAGTGAACGACATAATAAAAAGTTTTTAGTATTAAACATTCCCGTTAATCAGGTTGAATTTAATAATAAGCAAGGTTATAATTTTTCATATCTTGCCTTGTCACCAGCTGAAGAAAGTCTTTTAGCAAAAGGTTGGAAGTATGCAATTAAGCATAATAAATTTAATAATTTGAATGTAAAGGCTGACATTGAATATATGTATTGTTGTATGGACAAAAACTCATTACTGAAAAACAAAGAAAATGCTAATAAAGTTAAAATATTATTAAATGAATTTGGAAATAAACTCAAGAAGAAAGTTGATAAGGAGATCCCTAACTTAAGTTCAGATGAATTAAACGCTATGTCTACATTATTAAATGAACATTCATTAGTTATTGCAAAGGTGGATATGGATAATGCTATTGTGGTTATGAATAAATCTGATTATATAATTAAAGCAAAAGAAATATTCGATGATAAAAGAGCATTTGAAAACTTAAATCGTAATTTAACTGAAGAAGGTGAAAAAGAATTGATTAGATTCCTAGTGCAACTAAAAATAAAAAATAAAATGATTAGTCCTCAAGAATATGAATTGATGAGACCAGACACTGGATCTAGAACACCTGAAGCCTATTTTCTCATTAAAGTACATAAATCGGGACAACCTGTTCGTCCTATTATTTCTTGTTATAATTCATATAATTACTATACAGCTAAATATCTTGCAACATTACTTAAACCAGCAATTTCGAAATGTCCTTCATATGTTAAAGATCCATTCGAGTTTGCAAAAATTATTAAAGAAAACAAAAACTTACTAGGACTAATGTGCTCTTTAGATGTATCATCACTATTCACAAATGTATCTTTAGAAAAGACTATTGATATTACTATTGAAAAAATTAAACTATTTCATCCTAAATTGACTATTGATGATAAGAATTTGAGAGAATTATTCTATTAGTGTACTAAAAGAACCAATTTAATTTTTAATAACGAGCACTATGATCAAGTAAATGGTGTTTCTATGGGAAATCCTGTTGCTTCTATACTTGCCCATTTATATATGAGTGATTTAGAAGATAATATAAAGAACTTTAAAGGAAAGAAACGATCAATATTTTATAGATATGTTGATGATATTTTTATGATTTTACATGGAACACAGAGAGAAGTAGCTTTTGTTTGTAAAATTTATGAATAAATTATAATCTTCAATTAAATTTACCATAGAAATGCAAAATGATAATAAATTACCATTTGTTGATGTCATAGTAGAGAGAAGAAATTCAGAACTTATAACATATGTCTACTATAGAAAACCAACCGATATAGGCCTTTATCTTAGATAGACTAGTAACCAACCTCGTAATTATAAGATTAATTTAATTAAATGCCTTTGTACACGTGCAAAAAGAATTTGTTTATCTGATAGTTTATTCAAACAAGAGTTAGAATATTATAAGAGCCTTTTTATTACTAACGGATATCCTATTAATGTCAATAAGAAAACGATTCGTAGTATTGAATTAAATATTGATAAGAAAAAACCAATTTAGAAGGCACAAAAAAATATTTATATCATTTCCTTATTACGGTGAATGCTCGATGATATTAGCTAATAAGATCCGTAAAATTATTCAAACTCCTTCAATGCAAATCATATTTGGATTTAAGGTGGGAAACAGAATCTCTTCATTGTTTAGCAGAACCTTTCGAGGAGCTCATGATAATAAAAGAATTATTTATGGTTATTCATGTTATGATTGTAATGGATATTCTATAGGTCAGAGAGCAAGAAGTGCAGAAGTTAGAAAAGAAGAACATAAGAAAGCATTTACCAGCAAAGGCAATTCCAAAATTGCAGAACATAGCCTTAACATAAATCGTCGTAATAATTGGGATACTAATATCTTAGCTGTTGAATCTAATGATTTAAAAAGAATAATTAAAGAAAGCCTACTCATGGGCTGGTATAGTCAGAAAAAAGATAAAACGGTGTACTCACAAAAAAGCTTTATTCTTAATGTATTCTAATTAATAATAAGACACATTATTTTGTGGGGTGTTAAAAAATTAATAATTTTAATTTATTAAAAGAAAACGTTATCTTTTAATACGTGTT